TTCGACTGGACGTGAAACTAATCAAGGTGAACGCGTAGTAAAATGATTTGTGTTACCGATACAAAAATTCTGGACGAAATATAACAATGGATAATTTTTTCACAACTCTTCCACTAGCCCGTCTCCTGTTGTCTTGGAATTTATCATTAATTGGTACTTTGAAAAGAAACAAACCATATATTCCACAAGAAATGCTGCCTTCGCTAGAGCGTGAGCCTGAATCGTCATTACACGGATTCAGTACAGATCGTGTTACTATTTGTTCATATGTACCAAAAAAGAAAAAAAGCGTTATATTGCTGTCAACAATGCATGACAACGATAATGTAAGTGGCCCAAAAAATAAACCTAAAATACTTCAGTTCTATAATACAACTAAAGGAGGCGTAGGCAACATGGACAAAATAGTTTCTCATTATTCCACTAAACGCAGAACTTTGCGTTGGCCAGTAGCCTTCTTTTACAATATCCTAGACGTAGCTTGCCTAGCAACCTATATAATTTATACAGAGAATAATCCACAGAGTTCTACTGAAACCATTAAGCGTAGAATTTTTCTACAAGACTTAGGGAAACAACTAGTGATGCCTGCAATTTCTGCTATATCTAAAGTACCAAATGTATACCGAAATTTTTCATCAAGGTAAGGAATTGAGTGTAGGTTAGGAAAACCTCTACCTACAGATTCAAGTCAAGAGTCATTACCACTTCGAGATTTCACTGGACGCCTCAAAATTGTTGGAAACTGCTACATTTGTATGTCTTTAGCGAAAAAGCGGCTAAGAAAGACACGAAAATCATGTAATGTTTGTAATCGTTCACTATGTAACGATCACTCAGTAAATATAAGTAAGTGTGGACAATGTGTTTAAAATGTAACTTTTATTTGCGTTTCCATATCACTTTTATTATAAAAAAACTAGACAGAGCTTAATAATTTACTAAACATTAGTGTTACCCGGGTGCCACGGGTGTGGACGTAATGGTGTAAAAACTTTGACAGGTAATTTTAATATATTATATGCATTTTTTTCTTTGGTTTTTATTATAAATCTGTTCGTTCTAAATAATTTTAGGAATAACTAGAAGCCTGAATAAAAATATTTATACTATCGTCAATGATTCAGATAAAACAATTACGAAGGATACCCAGGTACCTGGGTATAGACACAAATGTTAAATATATCATCATTATCCCCATCTAGTAATTTGCGTCCAAAGTTGAACATAGGCCTCCCCTAATGTCGTACAGTTCTGTCGGACTTGAGCTTCCTGCCGCCAATTGCCAGCGATTCTTTTGACGTCGTTTGCCCATGTGTAGGTGATCTACCTCTGCTTCTTCTATAAGATCGTAATTCCCACACTAATTTTTGGTGCCCACCAGCAGTCATTACTTCTGGCCACATGACTCGCTCAGTTCCAATTTAGCCTTGCTATACGCTCTATGAGATCTGTAACGCCTGTCCTTCTTCTTAATTCTTCCTTCTAATTCTGTCTCTGAGAGTTAGTCTAAGTAGTGAGCATTTTGTTCGACTTTGAGTTTGGTTACTGTGGCGTGGGTTACGGAAAGTGTTTCATAGTCATCATGTCTGATAGTACTCCATATGAGGCTAAAGTGATTATTCTTTCCAGTTCAGCAGTTTGGTTGTCCTTACCAATTTGGATTTTATGGCCCAACTATTTATACTTATGAACTAATACTATTTCGTTGCAGGCGAGTTTTGAATTTTCGTTTGGTACCAGATTTGTCGTGTATTATTTAATTCCAAAATTTATGTTCAAACCAACTTCATTACAGGTTAAATCTAACTCAGTAAGTATACGAGTAGATCCAAATTTTTAAGTTGCCTGTTATCAGAACACTATCGTCCGCAAATATTAAATTGCCAAGCATTTCGCCGTCAACATTGATTTCTTTGACTTCCCACTCTAATTTTTTAAAAGCATGTTTCGGAACTGGATTGCTCTTTTGACTTTTATATATTTTGTATTTTTGTCTAGTCTTACGGTCATAGCTGCATTATTATATATATATTTGCTATTAGTTTGTAGTACCGATAAGCTATGCGACTTTTTTCTAACGCTCTTACTACGCTGTTAGTTTCTATCGTATCAAATGCTTTGCGAAAGTCTACGAAAGTTAGGTCCATTGGTCGGTTGTATTCGATAAATTTTTCTAAAATTCCTTGTGTGCACTGGAGGTGGTCGTTTGTATCAAGCTTTTTCCTAAAACCTGCCTGTTTCTTAGGTTGTTAAAAATCTAATTTTGTTTCCAGTATATTTGCTATTATTCTTGTGAATAGCTTATAATGGTGGTTTAACAAAATTATAGGTAGGTAATTCTCGAGGTCTGTTGGATTGCAATTTGTGTGTGATAAAATGGTAAATATACTGTGCCATCTTGTAGGTGTTTCACTTTGGTGTAGATATGAGTTGAACAATTTTTTTAAATTTTCTAAAAATCTACCTACTTCAATCTTTACGGCTTCTATAACAATATTATTATCTCTCGGTGCTTTATTTCCTTTCTTTTTCTTTAGTGCGTTCCTTAATGTTTTTCTTGAGATTTTTAACTTTTATGTTAGTTGCTTATTATGGTTTTGCCAACTTCCGTATAATTCTGTATAAAAATCTTCTATTACCTAGTAATTCATCTCTGTTGGTGATGATCTTTAATTATATTATTTATTTCTTACCATTTTTTAATTTTATCCTGAGAACTTAGTTTAAATTAAATACATAGTTACAAAAAAATTACTGTAATGTTAGCTGCCAAAAACCTTATAGCATTTTCGTTTCTCCCCCTAAATCAAAAAACACCAAAACATATTCCTAATATTTTTGTGTCTCTGTGATTGGTAATGTAAACATTTTCGGGTTTGTTTATAATAATCATAATTGCTCTTCCATTACTCTTTGTTCCGCCTGAATATTTGCACACGAAATAAATATCAATCTTTCCACTTAGGTTAATTTAATCACGAAATGCTATGTGGCAGTCTTTGTAAGGTGAGATAATCCCGGTTTCTTGCTTTATTCCGTGTGAAGGGATCTAATAACAGCGTTTCTAAGGAATAAGTGGGCCTACATGATTTTGAGTGAAAAATAAGCAGCCGAGTTTTGAAAAATCATATCATTATCAACCAGATAACCTGGAGCCCAATTTGATGTTTGACCTCTTCCAAGATTTGTCAAGCTTCCATTTTATGTCTCCCATCGGTCGGATCAGGATCGTTTAAAGTTTGTGTGGGACAATGTTTTTTATTCAAATGTAAGGTAACAAACTTTTTTAATAACTTAGAAAGAAATAATCAGCCAGTGAAGCAAAGTAGTTTTGTTAAATTTTTCTAAATAAACATTTATCTTTAACATACTAAAAATTGCTCTTATTTCTGTTTAAAGGTATATAAATAAATATAAGTTTTACGGATCAGCTTATTGTCATATTTTAGTTTTTCTTTTAAATAAGGTTAACCTTGATATTTAATTAATAATTCAGAAAAGTTTGGTATTTTATTTACACATGACACTCAGTATATTATTTTCTGTTTATTATCTGTAAGATTTCGTATGAAATTTTTTTTATTTTGCTGCAATATAAAGATTTTGAATAAATAAACGTTGCGCGATTTTTGTCATGTTTTACGATTTTTATAAGAACAATAAAATTTATTACTTTCATTGACTGTTCACTTCGAAATTTTCATTATTAGAGCCTAATCTTCAAAAACTATAACATACAATTTTGGTTTTAAGATTTTGCAACAAATATGAGGCATTTGAATTATGCCTAAAAACGCTGAATTGAAACTTTCACATTACAAATGATCTAAAATCTGTTTTTTTTTTTTGATTGCATATGTACGTTTTTAAAAACTACATAACTTAATCGAAAAATCACATCCATGCCGTCTTTATGGAGGCATTTCCCGTGACGTGAGATTTTTGTAATGTGCAAATTCAGTTTCAGTTTAGGCATATTTCAAATGTATCACATTTGTTGCGAAAATTCAACATTAAAGTTTTATGACTAACGTTTTGAAGATAAGCCTTTAGCAATGGAAATTCTACAGCGACTGGTAAATGGAAGAGATAAATTTTTATGATCTCATAAGAATCGTAAAAAATTGCAAAAATTTCATACGGAATCTGCACTTTTCACCTGTAAAACGCCTTTTTACTTTTGTAGAGAGGAACTGATCAAATGATATCTCAACTTTTAGCGTCGAGTTGATACAAATTTTAATTAAAACAGTGATTTCGCGCGCGTAACTGTCAATAAAAATCGCTGGTCCTTTCAAGCGTATGAGCAACTTTTTATGTAGAATGAACTTTCATCTCATAAACATTTTTGTTTAACATTATATCAGCTACATTTCTTGTTTAAAACATTAAAAAGTGGCAAATTGTTTTTCATCTTTTTTTTGGGTGCCAAAAATAACTTATCAAAATTCAGCTGGTTTATCTCATTCTAAGAGATAAAATCTATTACCACTAATATTATATAAGAAATGTTTAGTATAAGTAAATAAATTTATTTACTGTAGTTAAAAGTTAAAGATAAAAATAATTTAAAATTTATATATTATTCATATATAAACAACTTCATAAAAAAATTTAGTTTTTGTGGTAACGCATACTCGCTGTAACTAATAGGCCCCAAACAAAATTATATACAACAAATGTTTGAGGGAAATATACAAAACGATGTTTGTTACATTATTAATTAGTTAAACAACATACAATTATTTTTAGAGCTTTTTTAAACTGAATCGCTACAAAAATCTGGTTTTCATGCGGAGTAATGATATTTTCTTACTATACTTTAAAAAAATTACAGTTAAGCGATATAGAGACAGCCCACAAGTAACGAATTTCAACTTAATGTAAAACCAAAAGTTACTTTTTTTTAAGATAAAATAGTTTAATATAAATTGATCCAGAGCAGTACATCATGCGGGTTAGTATAATGATATACATATTTGTAAAGATGTTTTTACCTTGCTGTGCGTAGATGAAGGAGTTACAGGTGGTGTTTCAGTAGTTGTTGGAGAAAGATTACCGTCGCCGGAATTTGAAGTAGGTAGTCTTTGTTCTTGTACGCTGGCTAATCTAAAAGTTTAGTTAAAAAATTTTAATTTTTGACCCGATCTCACATGTATTCATCAACATATTTAAAATATAGCTTTAGCTAATCAAAACTACTGAAAATAAAGAGTATAAGTTATTGGTAGGAGCAAAATTACATCAAGTTTTCATTGATGAACCGAATGTTACTTCATCTGTAGTACAACATGATTATTCTAGTGCTTCATCCCAGTACACTTCATAGTATGACAACTAATATTTCAAGACAAGAACAATAATTTGCATCGAGTAATATTCATGAGTAAATTTAACAACCAAGTTAACGAAATCTCCACAAACAATGATTAAAGAAAAAACTTAATCAAGAAAAATAAATGGATAACAGACGACATCTTGAAATTAATGGAACAATACTGGGACTGATAAAATCTAATGTAACAGAAAATAGACACCTGCAGAGAAGAATAAAAAAGAGATCAAATTAGCAAAAGAAAAATGGATGAGAAAAAGGACCAACGAAATGGAGGATTTAATATCTAAACACGACTTATTTAATGTGCACAAAAAAGAAATAAGAAAAGAATGGCAGCTGTATATATCAGAGTTGTTTGAAGATGACAGGAATAATATTGCCGAATTCTACCAAAACTGTACTGATGGCCCAGAAATTATGAAATGCGAGGTAAAACACGCTATAAATAATGCTAAAACTATAAAATCTTGTGGCCCAGATGATACACGAACTGAGTTGCTAAAACTAATAGAGAATGATAACATAAAAGTAGTAGTAAGACTTTTTAATTTAATATATAACAATGGAGTGGTTCCCGCAGATTGGCTCAAATCCATCTTTGTCGCAATACCTAAAAAATACAATGCGAGAAAATGCCCACAACATCGATTAATTAGCCTAATGAGCCACACTCTTAAAATTTTCCTCAGAATACTTCACAACAGAATCAGATGCAAATGCGAAGATCTTGATGATACCCAATTTGGTTTTAGAAATGCTATGGAAACCAGGGAAACTTTTTGCGCTTAACATTCTATTACAAAAATGCCGTGACCAAAGAAAATATGTATTTGCGTGTTTCGTGGACTTCGAAAAGGCATACGATAAAGTCCAGCATGTAAAATTAATGCAAATACTAAAAAATATCGGAATAGATAACAAGAGTATTTGTGTCATTAAAAATTTGTACTGGAATCAAACTGCTATCGTAAAAATTGGAGATAACTACACTGATGAAATCTCTATACAACGAGGAGCCAGATAAGGTTGCATTTTGTCGTCAACATTGTTTAATATTTACTCGGACCAGTTAGTTAAAAATGCACTTGAGAAAAAACCATATGGAATGAAAATCAACGGGGAACTACTTAATGTGATTAGATATGCAGACGATACAGTAATTATATCAGATAATATTCAAGGTATTCAAATTCTGGTTCATCGTATTCACGAGGTAGAAGAGGAAATGGGCATTAAAATAAACTCAAACAAAACCAAATTTTTAGTGTTTATTCGTGACCCACATCCCGATGCAAATCTTCAATTAAACGGAGTCCAAGTTGAGAAAGTTCACAAAATGACATATTTAGGAACTGTGATAATAGACCAACTAGATCCAGACATAGAAATAAAACGTAGAAAAGCAATGACTAAAACTACTTTTATGAAAATGAAGTCATTTCTTTGCAATAACCATCTCAGTTCAGAACTAACGCAAATAATGGTTAAGTGCTATGTTTGGTCCCTGCTTTTGTATAGTGCAGAAGTGTGGACGCTAAGAGTAACGATCATGAACCAAATTAAAGCGTTGGAAATTGGGGTTCATAAACAAATTCTGAAGATACCTTGGATAGCAAGGAAAACTAATGAAAAAGTACTAAGGAGCGTTAACAAAGATAGAGAACTGCTGAAGACTGTTAAACATAAAAAAATATCTTATCTGGGACATATAGTAAGGCGAAGTCGATATAAAATATTACAACTGATCCTTAATGGCAAAATAGAGGCCCTTAGAGGTGTAGGAAGATAACAAGTTTCTTAGTTAAAAAACATTCGTGTGAGATATCAAATGCAGGACAATTATTCCATATTGCAGAAGATCGAGAAGCCTTCACAATGGTGATCGCCAACGTCGGATAATTCTGATATGGCACACAAAGAAGAAGAAAAATATTCAACAACTGTCAAATAAAGCTTCCGTTGTTAACTATGTTATGAATTTTCGCCCAACCTGACTTAATGTACCAACATTTTTTTTGTTCTTTAATAAAAAAATTTAAACAAAAATTTTATATAACAGTCCTAATCTCACGAGTAAAGATTGACAAAGTAAAGCAAATCTCCGGTTTAAAGTATTTTTTATGAATTATCACTCCTAAAATAAATAATACTATAGTCTCTTCTTCACAAGACATTGCTAAAACTCTTGCTTTCACCTTTGACTAACATTCCTCTATCGAAAACTACAATAACTTTAGGGACTACAAGCTAGATAAAGAATGCACCATCCTGTCTTTGAAAGTATCCCACAAAAACCTTGTGTATTAACCTCTTACTATTATAAAACCACATAGCCCCTTACAGGATATAAAAGACTAAAGCACAAAACACGACATATATCTGAGTTGTGTTCCTAAGGCAAAAATCAATCTTAATAAAACAGCACCTATTGCAAATTAACAATCAAATGTGGTAACATCGGCAGTATCCATCTACATGTAAAAATATAAAATTCTGCTGTTTTTAAAAACACGAAAGCCTCGACTTTACTCAAAATGATATAAACCGATATTTCTAAAATGTCTCATGGCTAAATTATTGTAGAAAATAGTCACGCATCCAATATTCGAGGACACTGCTTAGCCTCTATCTAAAATTTCTTAAAAGACTTTTCTTTGCAAATAAGAATTAACAACGTCTATTTAGATTTTTAAACTGCAGAAAATGGTACTCCACAAGGCTTAGTACTCAGTCCTACCCTATGATTAGTCGCCATAAACAATATAGTAAATAAATTACCTAAACCTAAATATTCTATATGTGCAAAATAGCATAGACATTTTTAACCCAGCTAGATGAACTGACAGCTATTATAGGATTCGACTTCTTCATTACAAAGACAACTGGTACGCTATTTTGGAAAAAATCACCCATTTAATTAGTCCTTTATCTTTAAAACAGCGTCATTTTCTTCAAAAACTCAAACCTGTGCATTAAAAGACATACAGCAATTGGCGATAACATACAACAAAACTTATCAAATCTCTTCTGGCGGTCCAACTTCTCTACACTTCTTCTTCTGTATGAAACGTTTATCAGATACAAAATCGATTACAGTTCAACTGCTTCTTCTTCTTCTCGTGCCACTCCTAGCGGAGATTGGAAATCATCATGGCCACTGCGACTTTGTTAGCAGCGCGCCTAAAAAGTTCAATCGAACTACACCCGAACCATTCACGTAGATTACGAAGCCACGATCTTTTTCTTCTTCCCACACTTCTTCTGCCCTTAATTTTGCCCTGCATGATGTTTCTTAAAAGTTCGTACTTTTCACCTCTCACAATGTGCCCCAAGTATTCTATCTTTCTAGTTTTTATCTCATTTAGAATTTCGCATCTTTTGTCTAAAGTTTGGAGTACTTGCGTGTTAGTGACGCGGTCCATCCATGATATTCTGAGAATGCTCCTATAGCACCACATCTCAAAAGCTTCGATGTTTTTTATGGTCAACTGTTTTATTGTCCAAGCCTCAACTCCATATAACAGGGTAGAAAAGACATAACACCGCAGCATTCGTATTCGTAACTTTATATTGATATCACGATTGCAAAAGAGTTTGCACATTCTATTAAAGACTGATCTAGCGATTTCTATTCTACATCTAATCTCTTTTGTTTGATCAGTATCGTCTGTGATCCAAGCACCTAGATATTTATAACAGGGCACACGCTCAATCGTTGTATTGTCTATTACAAGATTAGCTCTGATGTTCTTTGATTTCGTGATTACCATAAATTTAGTTTTTTTCAAATTAATTTTCAAGCCGTAACTGTTACAGTATATATTGAGACTTTGAACGAGATGTTGTAGTTCTACTAGCGTTCCCGTTAGGAGAACTGTATCGTCAGCATACCTTATATTGTTGATCGTCTCACCATTTATTATCAGACCCAGATCTTCTTCCTCGAGTGCTCGTTCACAGATAGCTTCACTATACAGATTAAATAAAAGTGGCGATAAGATACATCCCTGCCGGACTCCTCGACGGATTTGAATTTCTTCTGTTAGTCTGCCCTCAACCTTGACATTTGCTGTTTGATTCCAATATAGATTGCATATAATTCGAATATCTCGGCTGTCCATATTTTTCTTTATTAGAACTTGTCTTAGTGGTTCATGTTATACTTTGTTAAAGGCCTTTTCGAAATCAATAAAGCAGACGTAAATTTCTTGGTTCATGTCTAAGCATCTTTGTGAGAGAACGTTCATTGCAAACAGAGCCTCCCTTGTACCCAACCCTTTTCTGAATCCCATCTGAGTGTTACTGATGTCTACGTCTAATTTCCTATAGATCCTATTATGGATTATTTTTAAGAACAGTTTTAGAGCATGACTCATCAAAGCTATCGTATCAACTGCTTATGCCATCGCAATCAAGACTACTCTAAAACCACTAGCTACAATCCACAATGTCGCGCACTTCGTATCGTTCTCGGTACACGTCACCCATAGAAAGTTTATATTTAGAAACGGGAGAACCATTGGTACAGTAGAGGCGGACACTTCTAACAGTTTCAAATGCTTTTTATGTAGTTGCCAATAAAGATCGTCCACTATTCTAAAACATATTTTCCGAAAATAATCTCAACCTTTTCTCTAATATACCTTGTAATGGAGAACCTTATTAAATAAAAGTAAGATCAATTTTAAATAAATTTGGCACAACAATCCCAGTCGTATTTCTCTGTAACATCCAAGATCTGTCTCCGTGATCCCTAATTGCAACACATCGTTTATAGTGTTTAAAAAAATCAACATCTTGCTAATAAACAAAAACAAAACGAGATTCTTGAATGAGACTAGCTTAACAGAACAAACATCTTCAGCGATGCCTCTAAATCTAATGATGGCATTGGTTGTGCAATTTTTACTCTAACGTCTACTTGCACAGATAAAATGTTTGCCCTTTATTGTGATCTAAAACATGCAAACCTCTCAAATATTTTAAAACCTCTGTTTCTTACCGACTCGCTCAGTTTTTTTCCTGCAATGCAACACCTGTATTTCAAACATCCTTTAGAGAAGCTGATATTAACTGAACTACAAATTTCCCAAGAGACTAACATATCTCTAAATCATAAATCCTAAATTTATATAGATCCCATTGCTATAGCCCGTATAGGAATTATCGGCAGTGAAGAGGCAGACGGAACTGGTTTCGGGCAGTGAACGCCCCTTGTGCGACCCATGTGCTACGTTTCTTATCGTCATCCATTTGTTAATTTAGTGTCCAAACTACCCAACAGAACGTTCAATAAACAATTTAACCAAATACCTACCTATTAGGAGAAAAATGCCCAGTAAAAAACGAATTCAATTTTATACAGTCAAATTTTTTACCGATCTAAACGCGTCGTTTACTGAGCAACGCCATTAATAAGTTGTTAGTGGATGCGGCAAATTTAATACAAAAAAATTATGTAGGTATTTATTTACTGTAAAGTTAATAGCTAATCATTATTTAGGCGATTTTTTTTATTTAAGCAAAGTTGACGCATCCAACAAAAGGTTATTCGGTAGATTCGGTAAAACATATTAATTGGCCTTAGGTAATTTAATACCTTTTTTTTTAATGGATAGTTTTCTCCTAATAGAACTTCTAGATTGTTTATTGAACGTTCTCTTTGGTACTTTAGACACACAATTTATTAAGAAATGGATGGCGATAAGATGTGTAGCATAAAGGTTGCACAAGGTGCGTTCACTGCCTGAAAGCAGGTATGAGTGTGTAATCTTAGTGTGTCCTACACGTATGCACCTCATAACCATTTAAATAAACCGTGTACTAGCACTAGTTTTCTAGTGTCGTGTATCTGGTTTTAGCGATCTTAGTGTACATTGCAATTGAAACATTCGCGCTGCCAGTGACCTATCATTTTTTATGTAAAAAATGTTTTGAGATCTTTTATAATGAGCACTAATTCAGATTGAGCACTTATTGCTGCATCACCAGCACTTTTGTCTGTCCCTTAATTCAGGTGATATTTATTTACAAAAGTTACTGTATATTTGTAATCAGATTATAAATTTAAAATATACTCAAATGGAATAACGGAAACTGACTGTATCGGGTATGAAACGCGTCCACTGTGCGCACTGAAAATATTCAATAAAATTTTTACAAATACGAAAGATGCAAATCGTATCCAAAGTGCGCTCGACCTTATAATTACCTCCTAGAAGGTGTTGTCGAAAGCTCCCTTTGTATGAAACAATGAGAAATGTATGAGATAGTGCAATGCCGTTTTCGTAAAGAGTCCTGCTTCATAAACATACTGTCCCTGATTTATCAGACTTACAACTAAAACACCATACCTACTGCGCATATCGTGCATATCTAGAGTATTTAGTTAGAATAATATCAGACTTATTTGCCTCAGGCAATTTTTTTATTGTTGAGTTTTGTCAGGTTTAGGTTTGAAAGCCACCATAATTCTAGATTCTTCTAGTATGTAGCCCAGTTTTAAACTGACGTGTAGTATTATACATATTTTTTTGTACATAGGGTAATTTTCCTTCTGTGATAGTATCGGCAAAATCTCATTTGCACCCACTACTTTTGCCGTACGCTATTTTTACCTAAAACATGAGTTATGGTATTAAGTCCTGGCTACTTCCATGTATCTAGTGGTATCAGTTTGGGTTTGGACTTGTGCACCCTGAAAATGTCTTTCAGGGTATCTTGATAATTCTGACTGTATTCGCCTGACTTCTTTCGGTGTTAGGAAATACTTGTCTAAGGGACTTTTAAGATACCTTTGTCGAGCTTTGATGTTTCTGCATTCTGTTCTATTTCCTCGCAATGCCTTTTCCACGATTCTTTGCACTTCTACGTTTCTTCGTACATTTAGCCAGAGCTTTGCAATAATCACCCTCATTGCCTTTTCTTAACTTTTAAGGCAAAAATATATTTTCGTCAGATACGGCAGTGGAAAACTTGTTTTTATAATCGTAGTAATAAGCCCTTGCACATAAACTCAACACAATACTCAGAACTAAATATTTGCCAAAAAAATCCATTTTCCAATTCAAGTTTAGTTAAAAAATACAAAAATGTTTAGACTAATAATTTGGCTAGACAACTAATTTAATTATTGTTGGCAGACATGTATTAAAATATTTTGATATAAAAAAAATAATATTAAAATATTGGCGAGGGTTTTGTTTTTATTACCTTTTTAAAGTAACAAGAGTACCCGTAAGCTTTTTACATCTTCTAAGTGCGCTTTCTAGTCTTTCCGGTTCGTCCTTTAAAAATGTTTCTTCTCGCATAACTTTTTCCATTTCTGTCGTTAAAAATGACTTCATACTGTCTTGCAATCCAGGAAACCTAAAATTAGAAAGTTAACGTTAAAAACCCTCCACGCTCCACCTATTACTACTTTATATCTAATAATTAGATTATTATTATCTAATAATATAATATATAACCGTCTGTTCACAAGTAACTTTATTAAACACTATACTGTGGCAGTCATGCAGTGCCAATATCACAAAATAAACAAGTGAATCAACTGTAAAAGCAGACAAGTCGCCCTTCGGGCACCTAATACCCTTTAGGTAAGTCAAATGGACCAAGCACGCAAAATCTGAGCATTGAGATCACGTACCGACAAACGTGGTCTCAAAAGCCAGACCATTCGGGCGCTCAACTGACAAGGAGAACAAAATTAAGTGATGGATTCGACCGTTACTTGATGGGAATTGGTTTTATCTAACAATAAAACACTGAAAACTTATGTTTTCAACAATTCCACAAAATTTATTTTAAATTATTATCACTACAGCTGCTTTGGCCAGTATGCCCTTCTCAAGTGATATATATATATATATATATATATATATATATATATATATATATATATATATATATATATATATATTGTCATACTTTTTCTTTTCCAACCAAAGAAAAATAAATAAAAAAAAAACCATCGAAATAAAACGACCTTTTTCCGTTTCAAACAAAATTATCAAAAAACCTTTGTTTAGAATTAGAAGACATTTTACCTGTAAGTTAATCGTTTCATTGTTTGTATAGTCGAGTATTAAATGACCATATTTTAATCTTTTGAAATATGTATAAATGATGTATTGAAAAAAAACCAATTTTAAAGTAAGCTATTTAGTTTTCTCTGTAACCGAAATTAGGTTTTTCCAAAATCATGGTAAACACAATTTAAGCTTTTTGATTGTACGGTCGTTTTTAAATGGGAATTTTGTGAGTCGATCATGAGAGAGGAGAAGTAAGTCATATTTTGGTCATCGAAAGAAAACAGTCTTTTTGTCTCAAGATAGGGTGTGGTTCGTGAGTTTGGATACCAGTAGTATTCCAGAAGTATTCTTACGGCAGCGAGTTGACAAAAGGAGGTCCTGGTGTCATAAATAAGTAGCGGAGTTTGGAGAAGTAAATCAGGTGTTTTTTATGTAGTCTGAAGGAGGTTTGCAGAGACATAAAGAAGGAGCTGAGGTGCCAAAGAGGGGAGATCACATATTTGAGGAGACTGGACTTTTCTGGGTATGTTCCAAAATACAACTCAAGAAGAAAATAAACTGTAAGTGTTTGTACAATTGAATTTTATATCTGTGAAGGATCGTTTCGACATCATGGTCATTATCATTAAAATTTAAGAACTGAGGTTTTGTTAGGCTAATCAAAAGTTTAAAGTTTTGTGGTTTCTTTTTTTTCAAGTAAAGAAAATTTTAAGTAAAATTGGTTTTTCACGTAATATAAATGTATGTAGCTTTATAATCTTATTATCATAATAATTTGATTTATTTTCTTGTATGCTGATTGATAAGATAACGATAGAATTTAATAATTGTTTTATTCGTTCTTATAAAATAAAGTAACGTAAATCTTTGTAATATAATATATTTGTATTCTTATCCTTTTCTACTCTATCCCGATAAAAGACAACTAGAAAATCTTTTGAATCCATCGAACACAGGTAATATAAGGATTATTTTACTTTTGATAACAAATAAGTTATAATTCTTTTTTATTGGCTCAATAAACTAAGTTTGAACTCAAAATAAACAATCATAACAAATGGCCCCCAACGTGTAAGGCGTAGAAAGTATTTCTAGTTAAAATTTAAACGGATAGAGAAAGAAAGCAGATTGATTGAAAATTTATTTGCCGATGGTTAAAGTTTATAATATTTGCTTTTATGACATTACATTTCAAATTTCTCTAGGTACAAATTTTTACATGATATAATTTATGATATTTAATTGATTTTTACAACTGACAAAAGTTTTAAAATTTTATTGCATTTATTTGAATTTATTGCGTTTGGGATAAGAGGAAAAGTTTCCGTCTTTGCAACATTACTCGAATTTCATATTTGGCGGGGATAAATAATCTAACGAACATGTCGACCACAAGGAGTCAAAGTAAAACGCAAGAAAGGAAAGAGGATAAGATAGAAAAGGAAACAATTATTGATGAAGGATCGGATAATGAAGGAAATGCTACAATAATGGAGGAAAGAAAAGAAACAGGGATGCTGGAAAAATTATTAGCAATGATGCAAATACAGACACAAACAATAGAGAAAAACCAAATTGAAACATCAAAGAAAATTGATAGAAATCAACTGGAAACAAAACACATAATGGAAGAAACATTACTAAAAATGGAAGAAAACCAACGAGAAACAAAACAAACAATGAGCAATATAGAGCAGCGTCTGGAAAACTATGAACAGGAAATTAAAGGATGTGTTGAGGGGATAAAGAAAGAACTGATACAACAAATAGAAGAGATTAATGAAATTAAAAATGATATGAAAGAACAAGAAATGAGAATTAAAGATAATTTGGAGGAATTAGAAAGCAAACTTGAAAATGTAATGAAAGAAGACAAGAAAGAAATAGAAAAACAAATTGAGGATATCAGAAAACAACGAGAGACGGGAGACAGGAGAGAGGTACTCATCCAAAGTCCGGGTGACATAAAAACACAATTTGGCGGGGACGTAAAAAAATTACACCCGGTAATTTTCATCAACAATTTAAAAAATAAATTACGACATATCGGTAATTTCGAAACAGCAAAGGAAACGATAAGGAACCATCTTAAAGATGAGGCAAGTTTATGGTTTGATAGCAAAGAAGAAGAATTACAAAATTGGCAAACATTTGAACAAAAATTTCTGAATTATTTCTGGGGGAAAATATAACAGATAGAGATAAACAAGGAATTACAAAATGGGAGATACCAGGATAGTATAGGTATATCAGAAAAAACATATGCCCTACAACTATACAACAATGCAAGACACTTACATTACAACTATTCGTCCGAAAAGCTAGTGGAACTAATAGCCAGACATTTTGAAGATACCTTAGAAGATCACATAACTCTACAAAACTACAAAGGTATTGACAGTTTATGTCAATTCTTACAAATACGAGAAGCAAAATTAAGAGAAAGAAAAATGAGGAGAACGCAAGAAAATTATAGACAACGAGAAAATTCAGACTATAGAGATAGAGGACAAAACTTTAGGAGAGAGTACACAAGAAGAGAATTTGTCCCGAGGAGGGAAAACGAAAGTAGAGACAACGAAAGAGTAAATTATGAACAAAGAAATCGGCAATGGAACGAAAACAGATATCGAGAGAACCAGAATAGAAACAACAATCGCACATATCAGGAAAACCGAAATAATAATAGAACGAATGAACCGCAAAATCGCGGAAACCGATACGGGTCCGAGAGACCAAGAGAAAATAGAAGAGCGGTCAACAACACACACATAGAGGAATATGAGGATGAGAGACAAAGCGACAGAAGTAGAAGCGAACAAGAACAGCAAGCGTCTTTTCACGAAGGCGCTCACTAAAGACAAAGAAACAAACAGGAATTTTTTGTCACCCGAAGGAATTTATTAAATTGGCAGAAAATAAGGACAAAATAAGTGGAGCAAATCTGAAATTTGTAGATGGTTTTATCAACGAGACACCGATTAAAATTATGATTGATACTGGATCGGAAATTACACTTATCAACAGAAAACTAATAGAGGAAGTTAATTTAATGAATTTGATTTACAAAATTCCCAAGGTAAATTTAGTGGGCGCAAATAAACGGACTTTGGCAACGATAAATGAAGGAATAGGAATAAAAGTACGATTGGATAAGAAATTTTATGCACTACAATGTGTTGTGATGCCAAACATGTTGCATGATATGATCGTAGGAGTGGATGAATTGGCAGAAAAACATGTGGTGATAGATTTCAAAAATAACACGATGAAAATCACAGAGGAAAAAGAAGAAGAACAGGACAGTAAGAAAAATGAAAAGGAAAATGAGAAACAAAAAAATGATTTAGACAAAGAACAAACGGTGGAAATGAATTTGGCAATGAAACAAGAACAGAGAAGAAAGAGGAGATTGGCAAAAGAAAGTGAAAAGTGGGTTTCCTCAAAATAAGAGATGAGCCCAGAAGAAGAAAAAGAAGAAAGATTAACAAAAGAAGACGAAAAAGGTACAATTGAAACAGTGGTATTTGAAGAAGTATGCGAAATGGAGGAGGCAGAATACAAAATAAATATGTGTAAAGAAATTGAGGAAAAAGAAAGAAAATTGATATGTGGAGAAGAAAAGGAAAAGGAATTGCGTGTAATATTGAGAAAGTATGAAGATTTAATAAATGAAGAAAACAGAGTAGCCAAAGAGTATGAACACTCATTTGACGTTAAAGACTTAGGAAATTTTCGATCGAAAACTTATCCGATCCCATATAAATACCGACAGGAGGTGAAAGGAGAAATTAACAAAATGTTAGAAGATCAAATCATAGAGAGATGTGACTCGCCGTACATAGTAAACAATGAGAATGGGATAAATAGTTATGAGATAAAGCACATAGAATCAGACAAGATTAGAGGAATTTAGAATATCAACGATGTTTACAAATATTATGAATAAAATGCTGGTATTGTTTTTGCATAGAGAAAAGTCCCTGCATAATTCAGTAATTTTTATCATATGCAAAGACGGGGATTTGTCATACTTTTTCTTTTCCAACCAAAGAAAAATAAATAAAAAAAACCATCGAAATAAAATTTCAAGATATCAATATAAACAAATTGTATATAGTAATTTAAGATAAGATTTAGTGTAGATAAGAATAGAAATTTGTTTGGCAAACGACCTTTTTCCGTTTCAAACAAAATTATCAAAAAACCATTATTTAGAATTAGAAGACATTTTACCTGTAAGTTAATCTTTTCATTGTTTGTATAGTCGAGTATTAAATGACCATATTTTAATCTTTTGAAATATGTATAAATGATGTATTGAAAAAAACCAATTTTAAAGTAAGCTATTTAGTTTTCTCTGAAACCGAAATTAGGCTTTTCCAAAATCATGGTAAACACAATTTAAGCTTTTTGATTGGACGGCCGTTTTTAAATGGGAATTTGGTGAGTCGATCATGAGAGAGAAGTTAGTCATATTTTGGTCATCGAAAGAAAACAGTCTTTTTGTCTCAAGATAGGGTGTGGTTCGTGAGTTTGGATACCGGCGTAACGAACAGAAGTGAATAGTTTGAAGAAGGAGATAACAAGTGGATTAAAAGAGGTCCTTGTATCTACCGTGGGCATTTTATAAAGTATATGTGAAAGTATTCTTACGGCAGCAAGTTGACAAAAAGAGGTCCTGGTGTCATAAATAAGTAGCGGAGTTTGGAGAAGTGAATCAGGTGTTTTTTATGTAGTCTGAAGGAGGTTTGCAGAGACGTAAATAAGGAGCCGAGGTGTCAAAGAGGGGAGATCACATATTTGAGGAGACTGGACTTTTCTGGGTATGTTCCAAAATACAACTCAAGAAGAAAATAAACTGTAAGTGTTTGTACAATTGAATTTTATATCTGTGAAGGATCGTTTCGACATCATGGTCATTATCATTAAAATTTAAGAACTGAGGTTTTGTTAGGCTAATCAAAAGTTTAAAGTTTTGTGGTTTCTTTTTTTTCAAGTAAAGAAAATTTTAAGTAAAATTGGTTTTTCACGTAATATAAATGTATGTAGCTTTATAATCTTATTATCATAATAATTTGATTTATTTTCTTGTATGCTGATTGATAAGATAACGACAGAATTTAATAATTGTTTTATTCGTTCTTATAAAATAAAGTAACGTAAATCTTTGTAATATAATATATTTGTATTCTTATCCTTTTCTACTCTATCCCGATAAAAGACAACTAGAAAATCTTTTGAATCCATCGAACACAGGTAATATAAGGATTATTTTACTTTTGATAACAAATAAGTTATAATTCTTTTTTATTGGCTCAATAAACTAAGTTTGAACTCAAAATAAACAATCATAACAAATTTAACAATCATAACATTTAACAATCATAAATTTAACAATCATAACAAAAATTAAGTGATGGATTCGACCGTTACTTGATGGGAATTGGTTTTATCTAACAATAAAACACTGAAAACTTTTGTTTTCAACTAAATTATTATCACTACAGCTGCTTTGGCCAGTATGCCCTTCTCAAGTGATATGTATATATATATATATATATATATATATATATATATATTATATATATATATATATATATATATATATATATATATATATATTTGTTATGTGTTAACACTTAGTCTTTAAGTAAATAAGTTGAGGAGGGGGGAACTGTTTATCTTAAGTTGGTCATTCAGAATTATGTTTGTATTTTTTAAGTTGTTGATTTCCAGTCTAATAAGAGTTATTAGAAAATTTAAATTTAAATAAAAAAAAGTTATTTCTACACGTAGGTAATAACAGAGAAATAAATTATAATTACATATTTTTTTATTTGACATGACAGAACAGAACCTATTACTACCAATTTACACTCTTCTCAAGTTCTATACACCGCACGTTTTCGCAATAGTTTAACACTCTGTCAAATCAAGTGGTTTTGTTCGTTTAAGTGGTCTAACCACTTTAGTATTGTCTAGGAGTTGACGAACCTCTGAATTAATGTGCTGATGAAGCCTTTTTTGGGCACTTCGCTTAGTTTTTTTATTACCCCATGATGGTTTCTACATTTTCTACATTTAAGTCCTTATGGAAGTTATCGCTCCAAACAGACCAGGGGGCATCGACTACGCCTCGAAGTACTTTGTTCTGGAACCTTTGTATAAGACTTACATTGCTTGCACTGCCACATTCCATATGTCCAGACCGGTTTGAGGACTTTTTGATAGTTTAGGAGCTTATTATATACTGTACTTCGAGCTAAGTTCGAATATCGATCCAATAACCAATACATTTTTTTGTATTTCAACTTAAGTTATTCTTGCTTTTTTTGTGTTTTCCATCTCAATTTACCTAGCAGTGTCATACCAAAGTTTTTAGCCATGTTGACATAAGGAACTATATGATTGATACAACATTTTGCTCTAAAACTGGCAAGTCTTTAGTGTACAGTAGATATAAGGTGGGTCTCAGTACACTTCCCTGTGGTACCCTGCACTAATTTTCCTTAGTTCAGAATAAGCATGTTCCTGCTTAATTCAGAAGTATCTCTATGACAAATATGCAATTAAGATCTTTGAATATTGGACAGCAAGGGCCATTTTTGCAAAGAGAGAATTTTTTTTCTTTAAGTGAACTTTAGATTACGTTTGTGATCCGGTACACTTGATCAATTATAGAGTGCTGATTACGGAATCCAAATTATTAATCGTGGATCAATAGTCTTTCTTCGATAATACTTTTTAGCCTCTTGCAAAAGATTTTCAAAAAGTTTTGACATAATCGGTAGCAAGGATATTGGTCGATACGGCGTCATTTCATATTGCGGTTTGCTTGGTTTTGGGATCACGATGATCTATTCTACTGTCCGGAGTAAACAAAATGATGCGTTAATTAAATTGGTAAGTTCAAACAGAGACTTCTTAGGTAGCTTGTGCGTAGTATAGGGCGTTTTTAGGATTACCGTTCGTGTCAATTTTATTTTTAAGCTCTTTTGGTGAGATAAAATAAATACCCACATCATCTTGTAGAAAAAATTTTGGAAGATATTCACTTATATCTACTATATATGGTTGGCAAACACTTTCGAGATAGTTTGCAAATACTAATACATTTTGTTCGTTGTTTTTTACCTAACCTTCTTTTTTATTTTTTATAGGAGGTGTTTGCATAATTAGTCTCTTTAAATTCTTGGTGGTCTTCCATGGCGAGTAGTCAGTACTAGAATAATTTGCCAAATGTATCAGAAATTATCTAATGGATTCATTCTAAGGCTGCCTAATCTTTCTCTTTAGTTGTGAGGCAAGTCGGTTTACCTTTGTTGTCTTGTAGTGCCTCTGGTCAGTTGCCATTTTTTTTGCTCTTCTTTTTTATAGACTAATTCCAAGATTTCCGTTGGGTAGTTTTTTCCTTTCAATCTTAGTAGTTAAGGGGAATTTTCCCAGGCCACTTAGTTAATACTTTCTTCTAGAGTAAGTATAAAGCTGTCCCAGTCCATTTTATTGTTGGTTGGCCAACACAGGGTTGTAAGTTGAATGATACTTCACTAATAGGTTTCCTTTGGTGAGCGGTTTTCCATTCAAATGGTACTTTAATTTGTTGACAGCATTGATTAATTAGAAACGTTAGTCATTCTATTAGGAGTAGACCATCTGCCATAAGTAACTGTACAGCTATATTGCTGGGTCCTGGAGATCGCCCGTTTTTCATTTTAATAAACGCATTACGGACCTCGTTGTTAGTGGTATTAATGTTACTATTTGTTTGTCTCTCCATACTGTATATATATACACCGATATTTAAGCGCCACGCCCTTCCGGTAGGGATCTATGGATAAGTATAACTTAGCTGCGAGCCCCTGTCTCTTGATGTACTGCTCCACCATAGGCCGATCATACACCAGCATATTCTAATCTAAGCCGCAGATTCATTTAGAATTTTGAACTGCTGCGTTAGATTTTTTATTTTCTGTGTACCAAGCCAGGGCTTGAACCGACATCCATTTGACCATTCGACAGTGAAGCGAATGAGAATCAGCCGCCTGAATCGCTTGGCTATCTGACCGACCGATTTGACCTGCTGCATTCCTTTCCCATATACTTCAGTCTGGACTCTTGGGGTAAATTTTTATAGTGATTTTCCCACTTTTCTATAGGCCGTAAGTTACTTAAGGAGTTATGGGTGTTTTTCTTTATATTAGTGATAGTTCTCCATGCTTCCTTAGTCTGAGAACGAACCACCTATTCAATTTTCAACTTGGACACATTTTTGTTCCCAGAAATTGCTTTTTGCTTCTTTTATTTGATTGCGTACTTCTCCGTTTTCCTTTGGTAGGTTACTCTATTGCTAGATGTTTTATTTGTTAGCCATTTCTTATTTATTTTGTTTTTTTCTTGTATCATATTTTCTTCTACGTTTTCTGTCGTCCTTGGTCGTTCGTGGTGTTTTTTGTCGTTGTTATCTGTTCCTAATACTTCATAAGCATTTTTTATTGTTTTAAGGTTGTAGCAGTCTTGTTCTATATATATATATATATATATATATATATATATATATATATATATATATATATATATATATATATATATATATAATTAATATGAATATGAATATGAATATAAATATGGTATTAAATTTAAGATAAATTAGGAAGATATAAAAATAGGAAGTGGACGAAAAAACCAATGGATCAGCATGTCTGATGGATAAGTAATACGGTACGATATTACTTACGGCTAGGTGTCAGTTATTATATTTATACCTACTGAAAACTGTTAAGAAGGTGGAAAAAGGGAACATATGTAAAGTGATTTTTTTTTCAAGATGTGAATATATGTAAAAAACTTTAACATAAACAGACGAAAACAAATCAATAGAAGTAAAAAAAAAGATAAAAATCGCTAATATTAAGATTTTACTAGCCCAATCTAAAATATTGTTTATTAATGCAGGTAAAACTATAACATTCCTACTAGAAATCCCTGATAAAATTAGTGATTTTCAATTTTTCCACCTACCTTAATTTAAGATCCGCAACGGTTTTTGAACTTTTACTCAATACTAAGGCCATATTTTCCACATCTGACATATTGACTCTCGTTTTTCTATTAATTACGTTCCCTCGAAGCTCCTCCACTGTCGATTCTAAATCACTAAGGTCTTTTTCCAATCTTAACATTTCCTGTTTGTACAAATCTTCTTCTCTGGTAAGTCTTACGCGCTCTTGGTCCATGCCTTGAAAATAAAAATAGCGTGTAACCTTTAAAAAATGTGTACAACAATATAAACATTTTGATTTAATGACAGGAAATATACTGGGGTGCAAAATTACCGGACACTCAGCTTTTTTTGTTTTTTGTTAGTGTTTAGATTAAAACTGGTTTAATTTGTTGGAATTATATTTTATGCCAGACTAAAATGGAGATGGGCAGGACACATAGTCAGAATGACAGATGGGCGATGGACAAAGAGGTTATTGGAATGGAGGCCAAGGAAAGACAAGAGAAGCGTCGGTCGACCACCTACAAGATGGACTGACGATTTAAGAAGACTCAATAAAAACTGGATAAGAGCGGCTCAAGATAGACGGGGCGGGAAACATGAGGAAGAGGCCTATGTTCAGCAGTGGACTCTTAAGGCTGGATGATGATGATGATATTTTATGCCATATAGCGATACCGTTTTTTTCTTGTTTGATCATGTTTATACTTCATCTAATTTACTTACCGGTGCACGTCATCCGGGTGATAGCGATTGGAGTGCAGTGCTTTTCACGGATGAATCAAGATTTAACAGACAATCATCAGATGAACGGCCTAGGATATGGAGAAGAGTTGGTAAACGTTATCAGCAATGTTGTTTTACTTCGAGAGTTCATTTTGGTGGAAGAAAAGGATGCATTTTACGAAAAACTGAAAGAAATAATACGGAACTGCCCTAGAAATGATATAAAAATAGTGGTTGAAGATTTCAACGCCAAAATAGGAAAAGAAAACGATTACCTACCCACCATTGGAAAATATAGCCTTCATAATGAGTCGAACAAAAATGCAACACGCTTAGTAAACCTTGCAGTCTCAAAGAATATGGTGATAGCCAGCACATGCTTCGAGCGTAAAAATATACACAAAGGCACTTGGGTTAGCCCAGACGGTAACACAGTCAATCTAATTGACCATGTAGTTATGGATGTAAGACATTACAGCGATGTTATGAATGTACGTACCAGACGTGGAGGAAACATTGACTCTGATCACTACCTGGCCCAGGCTAAACTAAGGGCATAAATCTCTAACGCAAAAAAGTCAAAGGAAGCAAAGAAGATAAATTCGAGGTGGACAGACTACGAAACACTGACATAGTTAGAAAATTTAAACACAAACTTAAAGAAAAACTAGAAGACCAAATGAGTAGTATAGTTGAAAACATAGATAATTACTAGAACTCAAAAAAAGAATCAGGCATATGGGAAATACCAAAACAGAAGGACAAGACAAAATCAAGAGGAGTACAAACAGATGAGACAAGCAGAGAAAAAGATACTAAAACAAAAGGAAAAACGACATTTAGAAAACCAGATACAGGAACTAGAAAGGCTCAATTGACAAAACGAAGCGCGAAAATTTTATAAAAATGTGAACCACAATAGAAAATAATTTAAACCTAGAATAACCATAATAAAAAGTAAGGAAGCCGAGATTATCAATGAGCCGGATTAAATAGTGGATAGATGAGCGGAGAATTTTGCTGAGAAATTAAATATAGACAACCAATAAGTGACTGACATAAATGACCAGAGTGGAGACGTAAACGATAAGAGGGAGAAAAATAATATGCCAACAGAAGCAGAAGTTGCCAAGGCAATAAAAAGTTTAAAAAACAACAAATGCCCTGGAGAAGATGGTATACCCCCTGAGCTATTCAAGTATGGAGCAAACTCCCTAAAAAATACATAAAATGTATTATAATGCCTAATCACAAGAAAGGGGATCCACTAATATGTGACAACTATCGAGGCATTACCCTCCTAAATACGGCTTAAAAAGTACTGGCTTATATACTTTATGATAGTTTACAAGTACATACTGAAGAAAACATAGGCAAATACCAATGTGGATTCCGAAAAGAAAGGTCAATAATTGATCAAATTTTCCTTCTCAGATAAACCTTAGAAAAGCCATATAAATATGGAATTGATACCCATCAGCTCTTCATAGATTTTAAAAGTGCTTATGACAGTGTAGACAGAAGCGCACTTTATAATGCGATGGCAGAACTAGATATTCCGTCGCATCTAATAACATTGGTAAAGGCTACTCTTTCGAAAGTTGAGTGCAAAGTCAAGGCACAAAACAGAGTGTCAAGGTCTTTTCAAACACATACTGTTATTTATTTAACATCGCGCTTGAAAGAGCCATAGAGAAATCGGGCATAACAATCAGAGGTACAATCATCAATAGAAGTGTACAGATATTGGCCTACGCAGATGAAATTGACATGGTAACACGGACAAAACGAGACCTGATACAGGCTTTTGAAACATTAGAAAAAGTTGCAAAGACAATGGGACTGCAGGTTCACGTATCCAAAACAAAATACATGAAGGTCACGAACAGCACACAAATAGCGGCACCACAAGATCTGGTGACAGAAGCACACACATTCGAAGGGGTCTCGGAGTTTATATATCTTGGAACACAACTAAATAACAGCAACCTAGTAAGCGTAGAAATCAAGAGAACAATATACCTGGCGAACAGAGCTTACTGTGGACTAAAGACACTAATATATGAAACTCTTATTAAACCTGTCTTGACATACGCGTCAGAGACACGTAATATGATAAAAAGTGACGAAGAACTGTTAGGCCACTTTGAAAGACGAATACTTAGACACATATACGAAGGAGTACAAGAAAGCGGGACTATGGCGCAGGCGCTACAATTTTGAGTTGTATCAATGCTATAAAAAATGCAACATCGTCCGGTCTATTAAAATTAATAGACTTAGGTCGTTAGGACACCTTGAAAGAATGGACCCTGGAGACCCCAAAGACAGATATACTATCAAGAGCCAGTAGGAACCAGGAGGAGAGGCAGGCCAAGATCTACATTCAAAACTCAAGTCGAAGATGACTTGAGGAATCTAGGGGTCAGAAATTGGAAAGCCAATTCGAAAGATAGGGGGGAATGGAGACTAATTCTTAAACAGGCCAAGACCCACACAGGGTTGTAGAACCAAAGATGATGATGATGTTCATTTTGGTGGATGTGGTATAATGGTGTGGGCAGGCATTTTCCTAGAGGCTCATACAGAACTTGTTACAATACAAGGAGGCAATTTGAACGCTCAACGGTATATTCAGCAATGTTTGGAAGATCATGTAGTGCCATTCGCCCTATTTGCTGCAAAAAACTTTCGTCTGATGTAAGATAATGCTCGCCCGCACATCACAAGAATAACACGGGATAACTTGGATGAAGTTAGGATTCGTTTATTATCATGACCTCCATAAAGTGCAGACTTAAATCCAATAGAGCACGCATGTAATATTCTGAGACGACGTATTCGACGTAACTATGGTGAGTTTAAAACCATGAATGATTTGGAGCAAGCATTTTGTGACTAATGGGAGCAAATCCCTCAAGCAGACTTTGCTGCCGTAATCAGAACTATGCCTTATAGAAGGAGAGCCGTAATTAAGGCTAATAAAGGTAATACTCTCTAAATATCGTTCCATAAAAACTGTATATATTTAAAAAATATATAATATTTTTAATAATGTTTCAATAATGTTTCTTTGCAGATTTCCGAATTTTTTTAATTGTTTATTGTTTTTTCTGTGTAACATTTATAAGTTGTAATAAATTTGGCTTTAAACTTTGTTTAATATTAAATAGTCAATTGAAAGCATCTTAAACTTTTTTAAATGGCAGTTTTTAGTAAAAATCTGACTGTCTGGTTAATTTTGCACCCCAGAGTATAATTAAAGACAGCAAGCCATGATCTACAACAAGATTGGCTATTGTTTATCTTTAAACGATTTTTAACACATCACATTATGACGAAAACTTAAAGTGACTTTCGTCACTACTGCTGCTCATGTACATAACTTTATAATGTTAAAAACCGGAACACATGTCAGTCATCTCAGAAACAGCAAGGAAGCTATCTTTGGTATGTTCTGTCCGTCATCGATGTAAATCTGGACAACCACCTCAACCTTTACTGCGCACTGCACATGATCGATGTATCTTCGATATGTCCGAGCCCTTTAAGGTAATAAGATAGGTTCGGTGACTTCAACTTTTTTCCAATAATTTCATTTGGTGAAAAGTCGATAATAATATAGGAATCAATTCATCTTGGCTCTTATCAATCGTATCAATCTATTCACAAAAGATCAATAATCGCAAATTTTTATCATTAAAGGAGATAATATTATCTCGATAATAATATTACAGGAGGGCATGTTATATCCTTTGATCCATTTATAGGAAACAACTTTCTCTTAGTGCAAGATAACGCAGGATCAAGCATTGCTGTACAAGAAATGTACTTGACGAAATAAATAGTAAAGATATCCAGTGCTACCTTAAAATCTAGGTGAATTTGCAGAAGTTGTGCTTGCTGAATGAAAGAATATTTAACACGCCACACTACTTGGATTGAAAGAAGCCGTCATTTAGAATTATAATAAGTTTAACTTAATTAACTTATCGTGTAGATTTTCATCATGCCTTTACGCTTTAATTACTTTAAAATTTTGCTAAAAATTAGTTAAATTGTTTTTATTTTTGTCGAAATTCATATATGTTACATTACTGTATTAAAATAAAAAGGATAATATATATATATATATATATATATATATATATATATATATATATATATATATATATATATATATATATATATATATATATATAATATTGAAAATAATCACCTGCTTGCCAAACCTGTTCCCCACCAGCCATAAGCATAGCTCTAATTTTAATAAAAGTATCCCTAATGGTTTCCTTCACAGAATGAGCTTGGGCTTGGGACATTCTTCTTAAATTTCTGACTTCAGCTCTCAAATCTTTCGCCTTTTTCTGAAGACCTCTCAATTGATTGTACATTTCTGGTGTAAGTTGTAGATCTCTGTATATTCGGCTATCGTAACTTGGAGATAAGGATGTAGATTTTCCCGGAGGTGCTGGCTTCAATCTGTCTCGCTCTAAAAATAATTATTTTTAATGTTTTGTTTGCTAAACGAAAAGCTCAAACTAGTAAAGATTAATTAATAAAAACATTTGATTTTAATTTTATTGTACAATTGTGTTTTAGATTAGCAAATAGTGAAACTACTTTTAAGCATTTTATTAATATTCAAACTAAAAAGAACTTTTAGTATTTGTAATAATGTAATTTTTATATAATGATTTTAATAGAAAACAGTGCCAAATATATCTTATTTTTTTCTTTCTTCGTATTTTTCATATCACTACAGGATCATTTGTATTTGTTAGCTACAATACGCATTAGTTCTAAAATTTTTTCTGTCTTCTTGATAATAGAATATTAGGATTTGTTTTATCTTTATATTCTTATCCTTTTGGTGTCTAACGCTAATTCGGAGATGGTTTTCACTCCCATGTCTCTACTGGTAATTTAATTTGTTCATTTCGCAACTTCTACCACTCTTACATTGTTCCGTCCTGAAAATGTGCTTATTCTATTTTTTTTTTTTTTTGTTAGTTCCAATTATTATTTAGTTATATGTATTTCCGGCCATTCTGCAAAGTAGTTTCATGTCTTTTATTTCCAGTAGATTTTTGGTTTTTATTCATTCTTGTCTAGTTATTGCATTATAAGTGAAGTTTTATTTCACCATTTTGTATCGTTTGAATATCCTGCTTCTTACTATTCTTGTAGTTTACTGTAGTGCTTCTACCTAACCTTAATATTTTTATAACTAAATATATCTATTGATTTTTTATGTATCTCATATCCTTAATCTTCGCTGTTTTAAAATTTTAGCCAATATCCTGGGTAAAAATGACACTTTTATGAGTTACAGATTATTTTCATTATATATATTCATTGTCGGTATAGCATAAAGTATGTTTATTATAGAGAAATGTATGACTTTTTTTTCTGGTAATTCTTTCTTCTATCGAAAGTTGATCAACGTCATAGCCGAGCTTACTTTATTTACACCTGCTCTGAAGAGGTTTACTGAGCTGCAATTGTACCATTATTGATGGTAGTCAGGGAATTTTCATCCTTAGTAATGTGGCGCAGATATTCCAGTTTTCCCACTTTAATTCTTTTGATGATTTTATACTTTTTCGGTAATTGTCCTAGAACTTCGGCATTCGTAACTCTTTGAATCCACAGTATTTTGAGCATCCATCTATAGCATCACATCTCAATCTATATCTATATCTTCATTTATTCTATTTCCAATGTCTAGCTTTCTACGCCTTATAAAAGATAAAAGGTAAAGTTTTAATGCTCTTATCCTCAATTTTATATTAAGATCACGATTCTTCTTCTTTAAGTGCCTCTCCTATCGAAGATTGGATATCATTATGGCGATTCTAATTTTATTAACTGCTGTTTTGAATAATTCGTTAGTGGTACAGCCAAACCACTCTCTTAAATTTCTCATCCAGGACATTCTTCTACGGCCTGAATTTCTGCGTCCTTGGATTTTTCCTTGCATTATATTTTATAGGAACGTGTATTTTGTCCTCTCATCAGGTGGCCTAAGTATTTAAGTTTTCTCTTTTTTATATTCAGAATAACTTCTGGATCGTTATTTATTCCGCGTACTACCTTTTCATTTGTAATTTTTTCCACCTTACTTTTTTTAGTATACGGCGGTAGCACCACATCTCAAAGCTTTCAAGATTTTTAATATTCCTCTGTTTAAGAGTCCATGCCTTAACACCGTAAAGCAAAGTACTAAATACATAGCATTTTAACATTCTAGATCGTAGATGAATACTAATATCCCGATTACAAAATAATTTTTTTATTTTTATAAAGGTGACCTGACAATTTCAATACGTCTTTTTATCTCGTGATTTTGGTCACCTGTTTCATTAATGAGGGTTCCCAAGTATTTGTATTCGCTTACTTTTTCAAGTTGGGTACCGTTTATTGCGATACTAGTGTCATGTATTGGGTTCTTACTGAAGGTCATATATTTGTTTTTTTAGACGTTCATCCTTAAGCCGTAGTTATTACATATCTCATTCATACTTTCAACTAGATGTTGTAGATCTTCCGCTGTTCTTGCCATTATCACAGTATCGTCAGCATATCGAATGTTATTGATAACTTCTCCATTGACTATTATCCCTTCGTTTGCATTTGAGAGAGCTTCTTGGAATATTTGTTCGCTGTACATATTAAACAAAAGCGGTGACAATATATAACTCTGTCGTACTCCTCTACGTATTTCTATTTCGTCCGATGTTTTGTCTTCTACCTTTATATTAGCTCGCTGATTTCAGTACAGATTTAATAGTATTTGTATGTCTTTGGTGTCGATGTTCTTACCTTCCAGGATTTCTTTGAGTTGATTGTGGCGTTCTTTGTAAAAGGCCTTTTCAAAGTCTATAAAGCAGGCATGCACCTCTTGGTGTACATCTAGACATCTCTGTGTTAGGACATTTAGGGCAAAGAGAGCTTCTCTTGTACCAGATTTTTCTGAATCCCCTCTGTATATCATTAATATCGATATCTTACTCACGATTAGTAAGAATCATTTGCGTCGTTACAAAAGATTGCCTAGCAATTTTAATGTGCGTTCTGATTTATACTGTTAGCATCCCTTGTACATGTCGCTTTATGTAATAATCATGAACTTGGATTTATTCGCGTTAATTTTTAATCCATGCTGAATATTAAACTCATGTAATCATCGTCATCATTAGCTCTAGAACCCTTAGTGGGTGTTGGCCTATTCTAGGGCCAGCTTTAATTCCTTCATATCAATCGTATTGATTTTCCCTTTTCGTACTCTAAGTCATCTTACACCTGGTCCTTAAATCGTGCTTGGGGCCTGCCTCTTCTCCTCACTTCATACTATCTTTGGTTAAGAATGTGTTTCTACGATTCTACCTTGTTCATTCTCTCTAAATGTCCTAGACACCGCAGACTGTTTATTTTGATGGATCCACTAATACTAGTTTCACTATAAACGCGGTAAAGCACAAAATTATAGCACTACCTAAGACATAATGTTGCGTTTAAACTGCTTAAAGGTTCTTCAGCGTTTTTCGTCACTATTTATGTTTCTAATGCATTAGTGGGAACAGGCCAGATAAGAGTTCTCTATATCAATATTTTTGTTCATTTTGTAACTATTTTTAATGTTAAAAGTTTCTTTAATCCATAGTATGCTCTATTTGCTACATATACGTCTGTTAATATCTGCAGTTACTGTATTACTTTGGTTGATTTGTGAGCCCAGATATATTACCTCTCTTATTTTGATTATTTCTAATTCTTATTATTTCAAGGTCCATTCTGGTCATTTTTGGCTCATTTTGTGGTGGAGGTGTCACGGCTTATCGGATCGTGTCCTAAGAGCCGAACGGGGTTTGTTGAAAAGCGGAAGGGAAAACGAGTACGTTAACACAAAAAAAAAACGCAAAGACATTGCCAAAACGGCACTACAGCATATCTCCGTTGTTATTGGTGTGATCGTGACGTGTAAGGTATCGTCGGAAAGGGGGGAAGGTAGCCAATACGTTAACACAAAAAACAAACTTAAAGACAATACCAAAATAGCATTACATCATATTTCCCTTGCTATTGATCCAATTATAGCGTGTGAGGTATCGTCAGAAAGGGAAGAGAGTAACAAATACGTTGCGTATTACTATACATGGATCTCTCTCAAATCATACACCTGCTCTTTACAAAGTACATATACGTTAGATCTTCGGGTTTTGCCACCTGATTATTATTTATCACCTTTATATATTTAGTTTTACTAGTATTACCATGTAGCTTCATTCTTTTTGCTGTTGTTTAGAACGCCGTTTACGATTGTACCAGCTATGCTTCTCTTTTTGCTATGATATCGATGTCATCTTCATACGCTAGTATTTGTATACTCTTATTGGTAATGGTACATTTTGTTGATATTCCAGATTCTCTAATAACTTTTTCTATTACAATATTAAATGGAAGCTGCGATAGACTATCGCTCTTAATACATATTCCATGCTGCACTTTCAGTTCACACTCGAACTATTCTAGGGTTGCTTTTTACCAATTTCATTAAGCGTATTGGGATATTAAATTCTACTATGACTTTGTGTAGTGCGTTTCTGTTTACACTGTAATAAGCACATCTGCAATTCACAAGTCAATGGTAAGAAATAACTCCATACTTATAAGATTTTGCCAAAGCTTGTCTCTGGAAGGAATATTTGATGGATATAGATCACAAAAATCACAATTTTATATACGCATACAATTATACGTATGGTCCTCCAGTCTTTTGGTAGGTTAACCTGCTTCCAAATCAGTTCTCTGGTCTACTTATACAGCAGGTCAGATTTTTCGCCGTATTTTAAAAGCTGCCATCTAAACGAATGCCATCTGCTCCAGGATCTTTGTTTTCTTTTAATATTATTTGTATTGCTTTGATGTATTATTCTTTCTCTGTTTCGATGTTATCTTTCTCTCCTTCGTCTTCCATGCCTTCGAGCTGGATTTCTTCTTCTTGCAACTTCATCTCACTTCTTAAATTAAGTCTCTTTTCAAAATTCTCTGCCTATCTGGTATTCTATCTATATTCTATCTTTCTCGTATCTGGTCCTGATCACCAATAATCTCTAGTTTTTTCTCTAGTTCTTTTATTTAATCTGTTTACTAAATATTGTAGTGTACCTAGGCATTTAGATTAAATAACGATGCTATCGGCAAACCTTACGATGTTCAATTTTTTTCTGTTTATTGCTGTACCGTACTCTTGCTCTAACAATGCCTCTTTTAATGTCAATGTTTTCTGTTTTAGAATTACTAATTTTGACAGCCGCACTTTGTTTTTAATACACATTAATTAGGATACGTGTGTTTTTGTAGTAATCAATTTAAGTAAACTAAACTTATGTTAATTTAAGCCTATTTATATATAGATAAGTTTATTACATTTGGATAATTTTTGAGTTATTTGTTCGTTTTTTACGAACATAAAAATAATAATATTAA